GATCCTGGTTATAAGGTGAACAATTTGAAGATTAGCCGAATGTCTCTCAAAGGTCATCGTTCACGACAAAAGTAGTTGATCAACTCATTGATTTTTCTTATTGTACAGGACAAATCAAAATGATTTGAACTTTGAATACTGATTGTCAGAATAACGTAAAACATCACTTGAATCATTATAAACATTTACATTGTAAGTTTGTCAAAGAATGAATTAGTTTAGATGATTTGATCTTCATAGCATTGAACGAAATAACCAAGACTAATGTCTTATGTGAGAATCTTCGGTTAACTAAATACATTATGAGTAATTTGTTTTACATGTGTAACAACTATTGGAGACAAAGCTTCAATTTGTCTCTTGAATGTAACATGTTTGATGGATTTTCATTATTTAATGCTACCAGTCTGTGACAATGAAAGTTAAAGTACGCAGAATTGTATGAGCTAAGTTAACTAAACAACTATTTTGATTACCAGTCACAATGCTCTCAGTCAGATGTAATAAAATAAGTTACTGATAGGTGATTCTATCTATCTATCTATCTATCTATCTATCTATCTATCTATCTATCTATCTATCTATCTATCTATCTATCTATCTATCTATCTATCTATCTATCTATCTATCTATCTATCTATCTATCTATCTATCTATCTATCTATCTATCTATCTATCTATCTATCTATCTATCTATCTATCTATCTATCTATCTATCTATCTATCTATCTATCTATCTATCTATCTATCTATCTATCTATCTATCTATCTATCTATCTATCTATCTATCTATCTATCTATCTATCTATCTATCTATCTATCTATCTATCTATCTATCTATCTATCTATCTATCTATCTATCTATCTATCTATCTATCTATCTATCTATCTATCTATCTATCTATCTATCTATCTATCTATCTATCTATCTATCTATCTATCTATCTATCTATCTATCTATCTATCTATCTATCTATCTATCTATCTATCTATCTATCTATCTATCTATCTATCTATCTATCTATCTATCTATCTATCTATCTATCTATCTATCTATCTATCTATCTATCTATCTATCTATCTATCTATCTATCTATCTATCTATCTATCTATCTATCTATCTATCTATCTATCTATCTATCTATCTATCTATCTATCTATCTATCTATCTATCTATCTATCTATCTATCTATCTATCTATCTATCTATCTATCTATCTATCTATCTATCTGTTTGTTTGTTTGTTTGTTTGCTTATCTAGACACATTTACTTCAATGTTGTTTTTATGATAACATACATGTACTTTTGTTATTTAGTTCATTTATTTACTGTAAACAAACACTTGTGTTTTTCTTTTTCGATTTTGACTTTGAACATGATGATTTTGACATTTAACAAGTTTGTTGTTTATTTTAAAATATTCTACAAACAATAATATTTACTCACAATATGACCAATTGTATATTGAATAATGTGGAATATTGATAATCAAGATATATGTCCTGTTATTTCCCAGTTGATTTTATTTTGATCTTTCTTTGCCGAAATTTATTGTATTTGTTTACAAACTTCAAATTCTTATTTTCCCCTAGGTGAACCCTCCGAATTCAACATCTCAGTTGAAGCACCGGACTTTCGGTTTTCGTCCTCTCGATTTCGTAAACATTAGTAATGCTGAGAGATGTCAGTGTATGTGACTTCCTTTGCAATGGCTTTATAACGTGGCCATATGAGAGCATTCAGAGAGTATGAGCTGACTCTACGCACCCTTGGTCATAATAAAGCATTTGTGGGTACATACGTAGTACTTATGTAATAATCATCATATCGATTCAACAATTTTTAGGTAAAAAACATTCCAAGTACTATTTCACTATACATAAATTCTGAACTGTCCTATCTTCCCTCCATTGTATGGCAATATCATTTTATAATCAATATTGTAGAATATACTTTAATATAAGTTATATGTTGACGATATTTTATTCAGTCTAACCAACTTATTAAGACCTTTGCTATACTGTATTAATGTTTCCTCAAAGTAACTTCCAACTAAACTACTTCATTTACTTGGTGTTATTTTACTAGTATCTTCCCATTGTTATTTAGGACTGCAATTGATCAGTCTTATGTTGTCAAGTGAATTTAAACTTCACCCCATTGCACAAGCAGGTGGCTAGCAGGACTCAGTAGTTAAGTGGATAACGTGATAACGTCTGAAGCGGACGGCACTGGGTTCGAGTCCCAGAGTGAACATCAACTGTGGGATGCAGGTACATCCGACTGGTGAGTCTCAAATAAGACGAAACGTGCGTCTTGGATTCTGTTGCTAGCTCCTATCCATCTTTGCTTAAACTACTTCATGTAAGTAATTTAAACCCATTATTTAATTATTATGTTTAAATATCACAGGTTGTAAGCAACTGACGAGAACCAAACGAAACAGAATGAATTCATACTATTCTACCCAAATCTTTAATTTACCCAAGTTCCTAAACCATGTAAAAGTTTCATGATAAATTTCGATACATGAATCTGTAATCTCACAGCCAAAGAGTTACTTAAGGATAATAAATCTTTTAGAGATCTGTTGTAAAGCTTTTAGCAATGGTGTCTGATTAAGAAATACGATTCTTTCAATGGAGTTTATTGAAAGAAGTATATGTCTTCTAATATTCATAGAAAAGAACGATATCAAATAAATAAAATTAATAAGGGTGTTAAGAAACCCCTTGTATTTTTTCTATTTCATCTTTGAAATTGATGAATGGGTCAAGTTGGCTATTCTGATATTCAATTCATGACTTGCTTAATTTTTTGTCAAGATCGAACTACACCAGCTTACTTACTTACTTACTTAGGCCTCTTACTCTACCTGGAGCCCTCCTTTGGTTACTGCCGGTCGCAAACCCGGATAAAGAGGGAGAGTTGGGCATCGGGTTAGCGACCCCAACACGTAGAAAAAACGATAACCAGAACTTTAACAGCATTATAGATCATTTCACCTCAAACTGTATAATCAGTTAACAGGCATTTTAAAAAAAATTAAAGAAGGAACGAATCGAGTGAACAAATTTCTTTTCAATTAGTTCTTCATCATAGCTCTACACTAATGCATATGTATATCTATATGATTTACATTAATGAAATAATACTCATCGAGTAGATACGTAACTAAATAATTATATAATGACATATCAATTATAAACTAACATTGAGTGATTGGAAGAAAGAGGATCATATTAATCAATAATCACGCTAGACCGATAAGTCCTGGGTTCGAATCCTGCAAGGCTGGATCGTGAATGCTCAGCAATTAGAAGTCTCATACTAAGGCGAAACAGCTGTTCAGCACTCTTAGGTTTTCCATGGTGGTGTAGCTTTAATCCATTCATGAATTCAACCATTAACTGATCAAAGTAATTATTCGAAGATCAATCAGTTGCTACGTTGCATAATATAGAAAAGAGAAGAAGGAACTAATAGAATATTTTGTTGAATAATAAGTAGTATAGTAGTTATGTAAGAATCAAGAGACGAATGTTGAGAATAAATAAAATACAAAAAGTTGAAGGAATACGAAAATAGTATATCAAAGTTCTGCTTTAAACTCTCCTATACCGATAGTCAAAGTAGCGAGAGTGGTTGTAGAAAGTTATTTTGGATGCAAAGGTTCCGTTTATGAACACGGATTGAAATGACTTTAGCTATGTGCACAAGATGTTGACGTATACTATGTGGCAAATTTGATGGAATACGGTGGATAACCTTAAAAGTTTTATTGAAATTCAACTGGATGACTTGTGTTCATTAAGTGAGCGAGAATAGAACTGTTAATCACTCTTATCTATCTTTTACTCAAACACAACGGATGGTATCCTGTTATACGATGACGAACTTGCTAAGTTGTACGTCCCATTTATATATAGTGTAGAGCCATGGTGAAAAACTAATCGGTGAGAGTATAATTTATGGACGGACCAATCACCTATAAGATAACGGGTCTCGGATTTCGGTGTGACGTTGACATTTGGATAAATAGAATTTCGGCAGTATAGATGATGTCAATTAGTAGTGAAAACCCTAAATCTTATTCCTGACCTTAACCGTCAACTGTATATCACAATTCGAGGTCTTCACACAGGTTTGGTGTTACTTATTAGGTGAATACTCTAAAGGGCAGTCTAGCGTCGCTCAAAGGTGGTTGTCCATACATTATAGTTTCACGGTAACTTCTTCACTCGATTCTTTCCTTCTTTATTTCCTAAATGTCTAATAGGGAATTTTCATTATAAAATAAATAAACTATCATTTACCACTATTTACATCAAATAAATAGACTGAAATTAAATTTAATTCCAATTGGTCATTTTTTAACAGTCCACTTAGTAACCAAACAAAATGAAGCAAGTTGACATGACAACAACGTTGAATATACTTCTAACCAATCAATGAACTGCTTTAATTTAATAATAAGTTTTAAGCACTGTTTCCATTTCATGTAAAAAATTACAAAAATAAACCAATGATTAGTTACTATCCAATAACCAATCAAATCTATTTGTACAGTAGGCATTGCATAATAATAATAGCAGCAATGGTAGTAGTTAGGCAAAGCAAAACATTTCATGAAAACAACAACAATACCCCCCCCCCGCCTCATAGACACACACACACACATACTCACCAATGGCATTCAAAATGATCAATTGAAGAAATCATGAAATGATTAATAATTATTGAATAAATTCATTAATCATTTCATTTATTATTGAATTCAATTCATTATTTTTTTTTAGAAAAAAAAATTGATTATGACTATTGATCTGATCATAAATAATAATCAATTACAATTATGTAATAATTTACATGAAAGAGATCATGTCTCATTTATACAATCGATTATATCAGTAATCCTATTAAGTCTCATATGTTTATTAGGTATTATTGGAAATAGTTTAGTGATTATTGTTTATTGTATTAAACCAAAAAATTATACTAATCGTTATATGATGAATCAGCATACAATCATCAATAGTAACCATAGTAATAATAACAATAATAATAATAATCCCTTGGATACTAAAATGACAAAAAAATTTGGCACTCATTCAATTTCATATAAATTACCATTATATAAAAATAAATTAAATCAACATAATTTAATATTATTATTGGCATTTATTGATTTATTCACATGTGTTTTTATATTACCATGGGATATATATCGTGTTGCTAATTATGCCTATGATGAAACTATGCCTATTTTATCTATAAATGATAATAATAATAATAATCTGAATGAGAATAGTTCTTCTGGAGACCGTATTGATATAAATTCTAATAAAGGATTCTATATTAATTATCAATTAAATATTATATTAACATTATTACGTAATATTATATTTGCATGTGAAGGTAGTGTATTAACTGCTATTGCATTTGAACGTTATATGATACTTGTTAAACAAGATCTATGTAAATCATCTCTATGTTGTCATCATTTATTGACTAATAATAATAATAATAATAATAATAATAATAATAATAATAATAATAATAATAATAATAATATCACTTCATTAATTCATAAGGTTCCATTGATTTATCATACAAATCATCATACTACTCATTCGAATGAATTGACAACATCATCAACATTGATGAATATCACTAATCAAAAAGATAAGAATCATCGATTCTGTTCATTGAATAGATGTATTACATCAATATTGATTATAGTAATTATTGGAACATGTTTATTTGAATGTATATTGATTATATTGGAATTAATAAAATGGAATTGTCAATTAACTGAACAATTACGTGAATTAATTAATCAAATTTATATTCTATTAACATTTATCTCATTTATTATTATTACATATTTATATGTAAAAATATTTAGAACAGTTAGAGAGAATGATTTAAGGAAACAACGATGGTTAACTACTATTCATCATCATCATCATCATAATACAAATTATACATCAATGAAATTATTAAATAAATCCAATTCATTTTTACAATCATCTATCTCTAATAATAATAATGAAATAGAACCAGTATTAAAGGTAACAAATGAACATGACACCAATTCAATAGTTATATTCAATGATCCAAAAATACATCATTGTGATACAACACAATCTAGAAGATATGGATTACCATTTAGATTAATGAAACAATTAAGTTGTGATCACGTGATTACAAAACAACCACAACCACCACCACCACCACCACAACAACAACAAGAACGAACACCACCACCACCACCAGCACAACAACAACAAGAACAATGTTATCATCAACATCAATTAGAGACAACTATACAATGGAATATATTAAAAAGACGTATTCTATTAAAAACACCATCTATATCAACATTATTTGAACATTCAAAAGCTAAAGAAGAATCTAATAAATCTATGATATCAAAACATAATAATCAATTTATTGGAACAACAACAACAACAACAACGACAACAACAATACCGTCTGCAATATCTCCATTATCTGTAAATCGTTTATTATCTAAACGTGTAACACGTAGTCATCGTACAGGTTTAATGATATTTATTTCTACTGTAATCTTTTATGCTACATTATTTCCTGTTTTATGGGTACATTTTAAATTTTGGTGGAAATATACCATCACCGCCATTCCTACCACCATTATCCCTACCGCTACCATCACGAATAACTCTATGAATAATAGTATTGATCAAATCAATCAATTACATAATAGAACAAAATTTATTCTTAATAATCAAGAGAATGATGGAAGTTTTATGACAACTGTACATCATGAATTTTATTATGTCAATAATGCTGTGAATTTTTTTATTTATTCATTATTTAATCAAAGTTTTCGTGAAAGATTAAAACGTTTACTTGCGAAATATTGAATATTGAATACGCATTAAAACAAAATTAATGAAGGATTATTCTTATTCTTATTATTCTGTTTTATATATTGACACATTGAAAAGAAGCAAACAAACGAACAAACAAATCATTCAATCATTTTTGGTTAGTTCATTTTTCTTCTTCTTCTTCTTCTTCTCTAACATAACTACTCATAAATATGATTATATAAGTAGTTAATTTAGATTGAATAAAAAAAATATGATTGATTGATATTGGATGAATAATATACTGAGATGTTTGTCTGGTTAAAGTTGTCTTTTTAATTTTAATACAGATTTACTTTTCTATGAGATGAAGTCCAGTGGAGAAGAATTGGTACAACAATTGGATAGAATTATGAAGGAAGGTATAGGATAAAGTGGATTGGACAATATTGATTCATTGCTTATACTCTATTAGGAGTAAAAGGCATAAAGAAATGAATGAATGAATGAATGAATGAATGAATGAATGAATGAATGAATGAATGAATGAATAGTGAGATTTTGACTGATATCAAACTAGACCAATGATCGGGGATCAATTTTTTTGGGATAATTAATGCTTGATATGTAATTTTTTAGTTGTGATCATCTGGATTTCTTACCATTTTTAGTAAAATATTAAATATAAGTAAACATTTTATCTGGTCAAAATGTACATGTTAATTAAGAAGTTCATCGCTTGTTAAATCATTAGTGGGATCATTGTAAGTGATTCGACACTATTTTCAATAGGTTGACTTTGACTAAAGTATCATTGTAAACCACAAAGTACTACATAACTCTTTCATCTTAGCAACGCAGTAACTCATTAATATTCATCCATAAACACACTTCAATGTAATACCGAAACATTCAAATCTCATAGTAAGCGCCTAAATGTTAGATCACTAGGATGTAATACAATAGCAAATAATTACAGTCTAAATTAATTCTTACAGTAGCATGAATGTTATTCAAAATAACTGATGACAACTATTCTTCTCTTGACATTTCTAAACCATTCATGGCAACTGATTGGAAATTTAAGGACTCTTCTCAAAACCATTTATTATTGATCATGATTATATTATTCATGAATGGATTTCTTTGTGTTAATTTGTGAGATAGTAATTCATTGATGACAATGGTGGATGTATTGCTTAATTAGTTGAGGTTAGACATCAACACTGTTGGATGCCGACTCAATGGTCTAGTGGCTAAGTGCTCGTGCGCGAGACTGATAGGTCCTGAGTTCGAATCCCTCGAGGCAGTGTCGTGGATGCGCACTGCTGAGGAGCTTCACAATGGGACGAAACGGCCTTATAGTGCTTCCAGGTTTTCTATGAGGATCTAGGGCTAATTGACTCATGATCTCAACTATTGAAATTACTAGAAATATTTGTTGATGAATTTTAGTTAGAAACCATTATCAGTCGAGTTCAGTCATGTTAACCAAAACTTAATTATCAAAGATGACAACAAATATCAGTTAAAAACATTCTATACAAATTTTTATTCACTCATTTATTCATAATAAATTCAACTAGAGATATGAAGTAATGAAGTCTCTACTGTTCTTTAGTATCCAGTAGTTTTTCCAATCGTTATCAATTTTTTTTCTTAAAACGCTAACTGTCTTGTTCCACTAAACCGAAGGGTACTTACTTACTTTCGCCTGTTACACCCGATGTATCATAGGCCGACGACCAGCACTCTCCATCCAACCCTATCCTTGGCAAACCTTTCCAGTCCTATCCAATTGTTGTTTATTCTCCTCATGTCTGTCTTCTTTGGTTTTCGTCATTTCCTTTGGCCTTATGGATTCTAAGTGAGAGATTGCCTTGTGACACAGTTCAGCGCTTTCCTCAATATGTGTCCTATCCACTTCCATCGTTTCTTTCTGATCTATTTCTCCGCTGGGATCCGGTTTGATCTCAAACCGAAAAGTATCTTCAATTAAACATTCATTTAGCTAAAAATTTCTATTTAATCAATTACGATTCACAATGCTATAGATCTGAACAATACTTAAAGAAATATCAGATATTTTTTTAAAAATATCAACACCGTTTGATGATGATTACGTAACTATAAAAGAAGAAAGATTCCAACTGAATAGTATGAATTCATTTCATTTCGTTTGGTTCTCATCAGCTGCTTACAACTTGGGATATTTAAACATCATAATTACATAATGGGCTTAAATTACTGACATGAAGTGATATTGAAGACACATTAGCATAGTATAGTAAGGGGTGTAAATAAACTTAATAGACTGAATAGTGTATCTTATTTGAAAGACATTCCCACAACATTGATTGTGACAACAATTCAAACGGTTAGAAACAAGTGATTATACGAATAGAATGAGTAGAGCTCAATTGATAAAATAAGATTACTAATGTGGAAGATAGTTGAAATAAAAATCTCATTGGTATAATAAATACAACATAATGATGATTCTTTTCACATTCTATAATTATCCCATATCCAAATGAATAATTCGAAAAAATGGCCAGTTCAAGGGCAAAGTACATCGTTTAAAGCATGTGAATTTAGGATTGTGATAAACATTTGATTAATGTTCATTCGTTTCAATGCATATTGCCAGTCACCATAATGTCGCTGATTGTACCTTTTTGTATCCTGTATAGTGAAAGGTTGTAAACTTTCCATAAACGCGCCTGAATAGATTGTGAACGCAATAGACATAATGATGTGCTAAAACAAACAACAAAACAGATAACTTGATGAAATATCTAGATCGAAGGAACAGGTAACCCAGATATTCAAGCAGGCCGCCGCGTTCTATAATTATCCCATATCCAACTTAATAATCCGAAAAAAATGGCCAGTTTAAGGGCAAAGTACATCGTTTAAAGCATGTGAATTTAGGATTGCGATAAGCAAACTACAATAAAATTCTTAATGTTAATGTTAACTTGAATTTGCGTGTATGTTAAGTGAAATTATTTTCAAGATCCATGATCCGAATAAATATGGATCAAATAGGGTTAGAGAGAGAGAAATAATTGTACAATTACAATTCGATCAAATAAGTAAGACGTAATACGGAGGGATGAATGTGAAGTGAATGAATCATGTATAAGGGAGATTAATGATGATGTTTAAACAATAAGCTTTGCCCTTAACCTGGCTAATATTTGGATTATCAGAATGAGTTTTATGGAGATTTTTAGGAAATTTCACAAGTTGAAATCGTGAGTCAATTGAAGCTAGACCACCATTGAAAACCTGGAAGCACTGGACGGCCGTTTTGTCCTAGTATGGGACTCCTCAGTAGTGTGCATCCACGAACCCGCCCTCCGCGGGATTCGAACCCAGGATCTACTAGCTTCGCTCGCGAGCACTTAACCATTAGACCACTGAGCCGGCATCCAACGGTGTAATATTCGGGTTAACAATTTGGATATGTGGTAATTGTAGAACCTGAAGAGAATTTATCGAAAAGAATATTCTTCATTCCAATATTAGTCACTGAATATGATGAGGATCTTTAAACGATAATTATGATTATCACAGATTGTAAGTAGTTGATGAGAATTAGACGAAATAAACATGAATTTATGCTAATCTACTAGAATCTTTATTCTTACTCTTTACAAAATAATAAAAGGGAATTCTATGTATATATGAAATAAATGAATTAGTTGCCTAGACAACATTGATTTGTGTGAATGGATTTTAACAATTTTTCTCTTTATGATCCTTTTTTTTTGAAAAAAATTAATAGTCAATACTTTGAGTCATGACAACTAAATACTATTAGTTTATAGGGGTTTTCAATTGAAAGCAATTAGTCTCTATGATAATGTAATAAAAAGATGGAGACTATCAGAACTATGTGGTGATGTATATTAGCGCAATACATTTCGAACAATCTAATCACACTTATTATACTTGTTAAGAACATTTATCTATATAAAGAAGAAATAAATGGTCTTTGATTGAGATCATGAACTGAATGATGTTAGACCAATATTGATAATGTGGAAGTACTGGACAGCCGTTTGGTCCTATTGTGGTATGAATAACCCCTTCTATGACAATTTTAAAAGTTATACTTCTATATATCACTGACTACTATTTGGTTAAAACTAGACATTAACACCATTAGACGCCGACTCAGTAGTCTATATGTTAAGTGTTCGTACACAAGACCGGTTCTCGGTTCGAGTTCTGCTATCGGTATCATGGGTATGCACTGCTAAGGAATCCCATAATAGTTTAGCGGTTACATTTATTTCTTCATGTTTCATATTATGATTGTCTAAATGCCAATGTAGTCGCCTATTTTCTTTAAAGAGTAAACGAAGAGGAAACGTGCAAACAATTAAGATGGTTAACTTAGTATTTTCTAGTATTTAATATCATTATAAGTTGTAAGTTTTTTTAAAATAAAACGATTCAGTGTATATAGTTGAGAAATAAGGACTTCATAATTTTCTGCAGCTTACTGTAAATATGAAGTGATATTTGGATGAAGATAAACATTATGGACTGGCTATAATTATACAAGGTAAAACTGTTTTGTCTCAGTGTAAGACCTTTGAACATGACTCATTTACAATACGGTCAAAGATCAAACTAGAACCTTCTGTCTCGTGGTAAGTACAGTCATCATAGACCTTTCATCCAAATAACGTTTTTACAGCATTTCAACATTATACTTTATATCCAGTTAGAAACAAGGTACTAAGTCAGAAAGTTGTTCACAATTGATGCCATATTCCTAAGACACTACTTGAAAATTAAAAGTAGTTCAGTCCATGCTAAGAATGATATCTATTAACTACACTTCATATTTAAATAACTTGTTACGAATGTTTTTCTTTAGAATGGGAGATTGTAGTGATTTTTAATGTTCTTTCCGTCCTACTTTATGGCTGTGAAACATGGCCGGTAAAAGTAGAGGATATTCATATGTTACTAGTATTTGACCATAGGTGTCTTCGGAATGGTGTATTTACTTTGTCAATCCTCGCCTTTACGTCTGCATCTGAACTTCCCTGTTTATCGATGATGCTTCCCAGGCACGTGAAAGACTCCACATTTTCCAGTGTTTCGTCATCAAGTGTGATTGTTTTGGTGTTTTCCCCTTGTATATGTTGAGGCCTACTACTGCAGAGGCTGCAGATACACTGACTGTCTTCATCTGCATTTGTTCGTGTGTATGTGATAGAAGGGCTAGATCGTCTACAAAGTACAGATCGTCTAATTGGTTTTGAGTTGTCCATTGTATTCCGTGTTTTGCGTCAGATGTTGAGGTCCTCATAATCCAGTCGACCACCAGAAGAAAGAGGAAGGGAGAGAGTAGGCAGCCTTGTCTGTCTGCGGTCCTTACTTGGAATGCATCTGTCATCTGTCCTTCATGCGCGACCTTGTACTGTAGTCCGTTGTGTGAATTCCGTATGACGTTGACGATTTTCTCACGCAAAAATACATTACACTCAGATAAATCAATGTTATAACGAATAGAATAACACACTGAAAAACAAAAAAACGAGTCAAAATTCGATTCCGCTTTTTTATTCCGTCATATCAGTTTTTGTTATTGTCTAGACATCACATGGATAACATTTCAGTCTGTCATTTAAGTCATATTCAAGATAAAATCTCTGAAATATGACCAAGCATATATTCAATGAATAATTCTTCGAATTCATTTTGTACTCAAAAAATACTTCTAAATGTACTTAAGCTGTTATTCTCTACTGTCTGTCTCTAGTTACTTTTCCTTAACTGTAAATGATCATAATTTCTGCAGCAATTTGGAAGACTCTCCCGGTCTTCCACATTGTACGAGCATTCCATGTACGTAAATTAATGGTTGCTCTGGTTGTCAGAAGGGGCATAAGCCTTGTGACTTCCGAAAGAACTCGGCTTTCATCATGAGGCGTCATAACTCTTCTAAATGAAGACCTTCTAACTTCCAGGGCAACGTTTAAATGGTTTGAATTATTTTTTCTGGTTAGGGTTTTTCTTTAGCGAGTTAGTTTTCTACGGGATAGGGTAGATAACCCCATGTCCAAACCTCCTGCTTTATCCGAACTTGGGACTGGGAGTAACCCCAGATAGGCTCCAGGCGGAGTTAGATGATCATAATTACACTGTAATCACTCTAAAAACGTCCACCAATACAGGATTTATACTTTGATAGGATATTGCAGTCCCTCTTATTAAAAATGACTACTATCTCACATAATTATCATTCTTATAATAAATATTCTGTCAAAGCAATTTGTAAACATATCTTTCCCAACAGTTATACAATATATCTATATACATGTAACATTGCTTTTTGTGGAGGAGCAT